ACCTCTGCCTCCAGGGCCAGGTCTCCATGGCCTGTTTCTACACAGCCTGGTCTCGCTTTCCAGGTGGGCAAAGGAAAACTGCCAATTGGGCAAGTTGGTTTGGTTAGAACTAGAGCGCCTAGGTCTACCGTCCCCTTTAGACCTCCAGAGAATGCTGGCCTCAGAGATTTCTTTCATGCCATGGCCCAAGCTTGGAACATGCCCTATTGAATTTCCTGTAGTAGCATAGATGCCAGGATGGAAGGCTTAAGTTAAGAGCTTGTATAGAAAGAAAGAAACTGTCATTAGATTAGCAGGTGTAGAAAATGTACTTTCAGTTCTGGGTAGGGAAGGAGGGAGACAGGGAAATTAGAACTGGAGGCATCCCTACAGAGTGCAGGCCTCTTTGATATTTGCCAGAAGCTAGATCCCAGCTCCGCTGAACACAGTGTCTCACCTTGTACATACCTGGGAATTACTAGGAGCTTAAATATGATTGTGGGCTCCATCCCCAAAGATTCTGATTTACATGATCTAAGGAATAATCTGGGCATCACGGTTTTGAATTGTTTCCCAAGTGATTCTTCTAGGCTGTCAATGCTGAGAATAACTGGGCTAGCATTATTGTTGATTTTTTTTTTTTTTTTTTTTGGTCTTTTTGAAACAGGGTCTCGCTCTGTAGTTCAGACGGCCCTTGAGCTCACTTTGTAGCCCACGCTGGTCTCGAACTCACAATGATCCTCCTGCCTCAGCCTCCCAAGTGCCAGGATTACAGGTGTGCGCCACCACGCCCAGCAAGGGCCAGAATTATTCTGAAGAATGATTTCTCTGTGGTGCAATGGGTAGTGCATTGGACTTCTAATTACCCTGAACCCAACTAGATCCCTCCAAGTTCATTTTGTGAGGTTCAAAAGGACTATGCAAGGGAAGATCTAAGCACCTGCTCATCTACCCAGGTGACAATAGCAATAGCAGCATTAATCTCCTCTGTAGAATACTCTGCCTGAGCTTCAAGGAAAATCCACTCTGGACGGCTGAAAAGCCCAGTCTTCTCCAGAGCTATAGATAAGAGGTGGGTGTGTTGGATGTGGCTGCTACAGCTCCCACACAAGACAGACTTAGTCCTGGATAGGAGCTGGCATCAAGCTCAGCAACACCGGGTTGGAACCCTCTGGCAAGTCTGTCACACCATCTATCACTGTTCTCTGTTCCGCCCACCTAGAATGGATTGACGAAGTGTACCTGCCCGCCATTCGCTTGAGGCTCCAGGAATCTCATAATTATGTCCTTTGGAGGCTGCAGGAGTTGGAGATTAAATACAACTTTAAGATCATCTCTCATAATCGCGGCTCTGGCCTTTACATCTGGATCAACTTGAACAA